CAACATCAAAGACAATATTCCACCATTACATAGATCCGGTGGCTATAAAATCTCTTGTTCTCACCCTAACTGTTTGGCACAATACATTGGTCAGAGTGGAAGGAGAATTCAAACTCGTGTTAATGAGCATGTTAAACTGATTGACAGCTACAAAAGTCCTCCCAGAGATTTATACAATACAAAAAGTACATTTGCTAATCATATCCTTGATTGTAATCATCACTTTGATATAAATAACGACCTTGAAGGTTTACACATTCGCCATAAGGGCACCCCTCTAAATTTATAAGAGATATTTGAAGTTAATGAATCAATTGAAGACGATATTATATCCTCGAATGAACAAACAAATTTTGATTGCCAAAAAATTTTCAACGCCCTCAAATTCTAACGAAAATTCTCTTCTTGGTTAGTACGTTGCTTTATCTTGAATCCTTCCTCAGTTCACCTTGTTGTTTCTGAAACATTTTTTGTAAAACATTTTTGTTATTCATTTGACATAATTTTGACTTATTGCGACTCTGCTTCTTTCTCACCTGATATTTGATATCCTTTGTTCATGCCACTGCATAGTTTTGTGTCACTTGTCATTTGAGACATACTTCACGCATCTCATGTCAAGTTAACTCCCCCCCCCTCCCTTCACCGCTCTACCACGTCATGTTAACTATGATTCTCATGATGGGCCCCATCCAAACTCTAATTACTTGGATGAACATGTGTTGGTACCCTCCATAAAGCCCTTTGGGCCATGGGAACTTTGCCCTTCATTAATTGTAACAAAATGTGAATTCAATTCTATAATATTATTGTTGCCTCCTTTTTCCACTTCCACGTGAGTACATAACCTGAAGTATAATTTTTGTATTTATAAAAAACTTTTCTCTGTAGGAATTATCTTTTGAAAATATGCTCCTGCTGATGATGGACTATTGATAGTCCAAAACATGTTCAGACACTGATAATTCAGACAATTAATTTGTGGAGATGACTTAGTGTGCCTTGCTTATGAATTCAATTTTTAATAAATCAGCTTGACGTGTTCCCGAATGATCTACTCATAGAGGTGTGAGTTCCTTCCTCACAAAATATTAACAAAGTAGTAAGGAAGTAGTTTAGACTAGGACAAACTAGTTCATCCTATCGCTCTTCGGATATACTGATTTAGCCTAGAAAAACTAGTTTATCCTAAAATCGGGTTTGTCCGGTAACATATACATGGTGGCGGAATTCTTTCGAAAATTTTCGATAGGTGATATACCTCATGATATTTTGATCACTAAGGTAAGGATGAACGGTTTTCAAGTATTCATTTCGAAAGATACTGAAGTTGAGGAATGTAAGTAAGTAAGTAAGTAAGTAAGTAAATTTATTTCCCACAGGCGAATATTCATACAGGTTAATAATAAAGTGAGCATTAACAATGCATACAATAACTACAATTATTATGAATATAAGTCAAAAGCACGAAGCATAAGGAAGTAGTAAACTGCGCAGACTCAGATTATATAAAGAAAGTTGTTTCTACAGTTTGCAATTTTCAGAGAAAGTCTGTTTGAAAGTATTCACTGATACAATAAAATATGTATTGATGCAATAAAATTTTCAGTTCAGTTTTGAATTTACCATTGGACATTAACTTTAGTCTTTCAGGAAGATGATTGTATAATTTGATTCCAGTATACATGGGAGATTTGCGAATTCTGGTATAGTTGTAATGTGGTAGTATAACCTCTTGTTTTCTCGTTGGATATGTGTGTATATCAGCCGGGCGTAGCAGTGTATTCCGTTTTTTGTGTATTAGAAGAGTTACTTTGAAAATGTACAAATTTGTTAGGGTGAAAATTCTGTGTTCTTTGAAAGAGGGTCTGCAGGAATCTGTATATTTCAGATCAAAAAGTATTCGGATTGCTTTTTTTTGTATTGTAAATATGCTAGGTGAGTTTACTGCTGTACCCCAGAACTCGATTCCATATTGTAGGAGACTATGAAAATAGGCAAAGTAAACAGATTTGGCAACGGATACTCCCGTATTTTGTCTTACGGTACGTAATGCAAATATGGCTCTACTAAGTTTTGAGTTGAGTTGTGTAATATGACCGGACCAGTCCAACTTCTCATCGATAAGGAGCCCCAAAAATTTAGTAGAATCTTGTGGGCAGATCGGTTTCTCGTTCAGGAGTATATTAATTCCGGGTTTGTTCTGGTATAATTGAAACAAAACATTATGTGTTTTGTCAAGGTTGAGTGAGAGTTTGTTGGCTATAAACCAATCGGATATACCATCCATGATATTCTGTGAAGAAATTTCCAGCATTTCTGTATTTGGCTCATGTATGACTATACTCGTGTCATCAGCGAACAGAGAAAAGCTGACTGTTGGGAAATTGGCAACAATGTCGTTGACATATATCAAAAAGAGGGTGGGGCCCAAGACGGAGCCTTGAGGAACACTGCATGTTACTTCAGCAAGATTCGAGTAGAATTCCTGAATTTGGTTGTTACTTCTCTGAGTGACACGGACACACATTTGACGTTGGGACAAATACGACCCGAACCAGTCATTGGCCAATCCACGTATTCCATAGAATTCCATTTTATTCAATAAAATTTCATGATCGACGCAATCAAATGCCTTGGATAGATCGCAGAAAATCCCCAAAGGGAGCTGTTTTGATTCCAAAATCTGGTTGATTTTTTCTAATAAGGCAAATGATGCGTCGGTTGTATTCATGTTCTGTCTGAATCCAAATTGTGAGTTTGTTATTATATTCTCTTTTTCAAGATAGGTGATCAGTTGTTGATTTGCATTCCATTCCAGCAGCTTGGAGAAATAGTTTTTCATAATAACTAGAAAACGGTGGTTTTTCGAATAGGTACTTTTAATGACAGAAAATTATTCTGGACATTTCATCCAGTGTAATAAAACATTCCTTCAATTTTTCAACGAGAATGGCGTAATTTTCACTTGTGATACCACTAGAGGTCAAGTTATTTCCAGAAATTTTTTCGAGCTCATCGATATTTTGAAAATTATTCAGATTATAATTGTAACCATTCATGAAGTATAGAACTTCACAAAGTATTGGTTGGCTTGACACAAATCTGTGTGAGCTATAAAGATGCATGTTTTTTCAGCTCATTTTTATGTATGCGAATCTCTTATACGTGATGATGACTTGGTGTTCGTGTCCTGTCTATTATTTCACTTTACACAGGGTGAGTCAAAAGGAACTGTTCATACTCCTACCACGAATAGATGCCCCTGAGGGAAATACCAAATGTCCATCAGAAAGTGTCTTTCTTTCCCAATATATAGGGTGAAATATGAGATTTGGCAGAAATATATTTTGGTCATAACTTTCCAACAGCTACTTCGATTCATCTGATTGTTTCATGGAATGTTCCTCTACTACTCTTCAATCGACTGACTAATTCACAATCGGGAAAATCCAGGATCGTTCTTGGAAACTGTTAGTTTATAGCAAAAAGTTCATCCTGTATATCGTTTTTGTGAACTGCGACAGAGAATTTCCAAAAGTCACACACAAACATCAGAAATAAAATATTAAAAATTTTCCTCACACTTTCACTGCATTCACAAAAAAAACTATGTATTTTATGAAAGAAAGAAAATTTGGCGAATAATAAATTCATTTGGAAATTGATACTCCGCAAGCCATATAAAAATGAGACTTATATTTTCAATGCTTCAGCTCAATGTAAATCAACATATTATTTCATATTCAGGCCTGAATTCAGTAATTGGATTTTTCGTGGAAAATAATAATTACCCTGTAAATCTTTCTCGAATCAGTAGATAGGGTATTTGTGAAAATTTTGATGACCATCGCTAAAAATATTTTTCTCAATTCACAGTCTCATCTATTCGATTTGTTTTATTCAGTTAATTTGGTCACATATTTTGCATACTGAAATTATTATCCGCCTCTGTCAGTATAGCTATTATTGAAAATCATCGTGAATAAACCTTCATTTTCTGTTCGACTATCTTGAATTATTTGTATCGATGACCATTTACATCTAAACAGATACCCCATCCACTGATTTGAAAGAGAACAGGGTGATTTTACCCTCCGAAAAAATGAGATGACGAAATCCAGGCCTGAAAATTAATGAAAGAATATGTTGATTTTCATTGGACTAAAGCATTGAAAATGTGCGTCTTACTCTAATTCGTGAAATTTCTGCGTTGCGTAATGATTATTTTCGAATGAATGAATTTGTTATGAAACCTTCGTTTTTGTTTATAATTTATCATTTTTTGAAAAATTCTGTGGAAGTATGAGGAGAATTTTGAATATTTCATTCTTGATGCTTGTTCGTGTGCTATTGAATTTCCCTGTCACAGTTTACAAAAACCATATACAGGATGCATTTTTTGATAAAAACTAAACTATCAAAACTTTTCAAAAACGGTCTTAGATATTCCCGATTCTGAAAATATCAGTCGATTAGGGTTTAGTAGATGAATATTCCATGTAAAAATCAGATGAATCGAAGGAATTGTTGAACAATTATGCCCAAAAGATGTTTTTGTCAAATTTCATAATTGGTATGGTGATCAGATTGTACTACGAAATACAAAAAGGATCTAGAAAATGGATTGGTGCAAATGTTGTATCAGAAACCTTCCGGCCATTTGCGATTGAAACTATGAAATGGCAGATTTCAGAAAGAGGCTCAAAACACATCCATTCTTCAGTCGCTCACGTCCAGATAGCACAAATACCTTTTGATGCCCTTCTGAGGAGTTTACAATAATGTCCTCAGGGCGTCAAGGGCATGCTTGAGGACTTTCTCAGAACGTCATCCTGTTACCGATCTCTGCAGCCTAATAACGTCTCAAATATAGACGGGAAGAAGATACTTTCTGATGGTCATAAGGGACTCTATTCGTGTTAGGAATATGTACAGTTCCTGATGACTCACCCTGTATCGCAGTTGTACAACTGATTAACGAATGAATTATATTCTAGGAAATTCCATACCCACATCCTCCAATTTGATGGTACAGGCCTATGGGAGTTCAACAGATTGAACCACATCAGTCGCTTGGACTTGAAAAAAGAAAAAGACGCACTATTGAAAAAAGAAGACAGCATAGACAGAACACAAAGACTAGATGAACTAAATAAATTACTTGGTGAAGAGCTATGAATTTCCTGTATGATATCTGTTTTTTATTGTTAGGAAGTAACGTTCGGTGATTATTTTTTAGTCAGTTGTTATTTGTTTGCATCACGTCTACAATCGTAAGCAAATGTGATTTTATGTATTACATATATTTTTATCATGTAGCTTGTACTCAATTGAATTCCTCTGAGTGAATCCTCAAGAATACTTTTCGTGGAATTGAAGATTTTTCATTTTATAAAGTTGGGAATCTCACACATATTCATATAAATGTTGACGAGTGTGGAAGCAACAACGGTTTTTCTGGCAACGGTCTTTCAAATTTACTTGTATGGTATATGAAGTAAGGACTTTTTCAATTGTGGAATTTTATTTATGCGAGTCCACTAATTTGGAGGAGTTGAATCAGGCTACTAATACTAAAATATTTTGTGATTCTCAAACCACCCCATAACTAACCCACAAAACAAATAAATTATGAGAACAGTTGGGAGATCTCTTGATCGCGATCTCCATAAAATGAAATGATTTGTGAACCAGAAACTACTAATTAACAACCCTCCGGGGTACAAACATCTAAATTCTGTTCAAATCCCCGTTGCCTGCTGTTTTTTCATAAACACAGATAATTGTAGACCTGTTGAATACACTCTTTCGTGAACCAAAAACTACCCCTCCATAACACTCCTAAGTGGAAAATCATGAATCAGTTGAAAATTCCCGTTGAACAAGATTAATTCATAGAAATGGATTATTCCAGACCTGCTGAATACGCTCTACGGGGTGAAATAATTTGTGAATCAAAAACTACCCCTCAACAACCCTCCGAAGTAGAAAATCTTGAATCAGTCGGAATTGCCGTTACTCGAAGTTTTTCGATGGAAATGGATAATTCCTGATCTGATGAA